ATCTCAGGCACTTTCCACCACCTCTGACATCCTTTTCTTTACTTTTTTTAAAAGATTTACTTTTTATTTATTTATGCATATAAGAGCTGGGGTGCAGGATTCACCAGAGGCAGAGTGGGGAGCAGAACAGGCTGCTGAGGGGAGCAGCGGGGAGACAGGAGGGGTCTGCTGTGCCATGTGGGTAGTTCCCTGGCTGGGGATCGAACTCGTGCTGCAGAGTCTGCGGATAGCTTCATAGCGCTGAGACTAACCCCTGCGCCATCGGGAGGCCTCCGACATCCTTTTCTTTGATTGTGCCACAGCCATGGTAACGCTTTCCAGCCTGCCACGGATTTAACACCTTCTGACCGTCACACTTGGATTATTTCAGAATTTAATAATGTCATCATGTGCTGGCCCTGCGTGGGGCTGAAAGGCCCTCATCCCCCGGAGACGGTGCAACAATGAGGGCCCAAAGCAGGTCAGCGGGTGTGGGTGGCCTCCGTGCCCTCGACGTGCGGGTGTTTCCAGTTTGACCTCAAAAGTGAAGCTCACCTGCTGTCCGCCGAGCACACGGGAGGGCGTGACGCTCCAGCCGTGAAACCACACGGAGGTGATAGTGGCCTTTGGAAAGATTGAGCTTCGATGTAGTCTCGGTGGGAGGTGGCGCCGTAGGTGGGCGAGTCTGTTGGATGAATTTGGATCTAATTTCCAGCACCGAGGAGCTGCATCCCAAGTCCTCTCTCTCAGGACCGCGTCGCCGGTGCTGTGATGAGCGAACATTGATGGAGAGCCTGCCACGCGCCACATGTGTTCTATTTGTTTTCATAAATGCATATTCCTCTTCCAATTTTGATAAAAACCCGAAGAGCTAAGGGAAGCACTCTGAGTCCCGGCAGCCTCGGTGCCAGCAGCCGAAGGGACTCGGGCAGCTTCACTGTAACACACTCGCCTAATACGTTCCAGATGACTTTCAGATGCTGAACCTCATTAGTCATCTAAAATAAACTTTAGCCTCAATATTGTGAAGAGCTTAGCATGGTGCGGGGCCCAGAGCAGCACCCGCCACATCACATGATGGCCGCGTCTGTGTTGTTATCTCTCGCCTCCTGGCACGACCCCCCACACCCCACCCCGTCTTGTCTGTCCAGTGCTGACCGCTGGGACGTGCCCCCCCCCCATTTCACCATGATAGAATGAGAGGAAAGGGGAAAAAAAGATTAAAAGATTGAAAAAATCTCCAAACCAAAGAAAAGTGAGGAAACGTGGGGAAGGAACTAGCGCGGGCCCCAGGGGTAACTGGCACGCCGCTGGCCACCCGGACTCTGCTCCCCTCGCTGGCCGTGCCCAGTCGGGCTGCGTTAGGGAACTGGCGAGCCTGGAGCTTCTGGAACCGCGTTGGATCCCGGGCCCCAACTGTCCGCTGCCTTTCTCGGGCCTTTCCTTCCTAATTAAAACTTCTTGCCCGCTCATTTTGGCTAGTCCTGCCATTTTGAAGCCAGATGCTGTGACAGACAGTCCCTTTGCGCCTTCCCACGGCACCGGGCGTAATAGGTCCCGAGGGAAACTCACTGCCCAAGCCCTCCCTGCTCCTCCCCCTGCTCTCACCGTGACGCCGAAGGGTCAGCGCCTGGGGCGGGACCCCCGTGTCACCCTGGCTTCTTCCCGGGCTCCTCTGTGTTTGCCGTAGAACTGCCTCGGCCCTTTCCTGGACTCGCCCCTGGACACTCATTGAGTCCCTGTGGCTTCAAGCTCGAGCTGCTCTCTCGGCCCCTGATCTGGCTTGGCCTGTCTGCATCTCTCGATTCTTAACATCCCCGCAGCCCCTGGCTCGGGACGCGTGGCCTCGGCTCGGGAGGAAGCCGCCCTCCTCAGCTCAGGAGCCAGCAGTGAGTCATGTTGCGGCTGCTCTGGCTGGATTTGGGGGGCCATCCGGCCATCCCTTACTCTAGCGGAATGAGTCTGACCACGTAGACGCTTGTCCGGTCAGATAATGTCCTTGTGAGTTGAGAAACGGCGCAGATTTGATGGCACCTGCTACGTGCCAGCCGGTCTGGAGCGTTTGACGAGCGCTTTCTTCCCCTGCCGTGTCCTCGCCTCTCCACGGGCCGGGCTGACGTTTATTCCGGCAGTTCCCTGTTCCCGGGGCAGTCACTTTCCGCTGTGTGTCCGGGTCACCCCCACGATCCAGAGGCTGCCGTAACTTCTGCGGTTCTCATAGCTCCTCCCTCTTGTCAGAATCCTGTTGTGCTTCTCAGGGGTTCTGCGGAAGTTACCACGTAAACTCTTCTCGGAGGAGTCGGTTTCAGCGTCACCCTTTCCCCAGTGTTACCTGCTCCTCACGAGTGCTTCTGATTAGGGTTAGGGTTAGGGTTAGGGTTAGGGCACGTGAGCACGTCCCCACCCTCGCTCCCTCTTCAAGCAGACATTCTGGAGAGCGTAACCCGTGCCCTCAGCCCCCCGGCTCACAGGTCCACGGCGTGCCTGGCACGTGTGGCAACGCCCAGTGACCGGCGTGGGGCCAGGCCAGCTCCTTCAGGGCCCTCGTGGGGAAAGGCCATCGCCGACCCTGCACCCACACGGACTTGGACAGATGCCCACTGTGGTGGATCCAGGCAGAGAGGCCGGCAGGTGAAAACAGAATGGGAAAAAAACTGAAAACATAGAATATTTAGAAAATGCAGGATGTGATTCTTGGTTTATTTGGCAAGAGCCAAAGCACTTACTCCGTGGAGGGCACTGAGCAATTCACCTTGGCCGCTTCAGTGCTGAGATCGTGGTCGGGGTAGAGGCCGCAGCTGACGTGGGTCGGTGGCCGCCCAGAAGCTGCCTTAGAGCAGATGCCCGAGCTCAGTGCCTGGGCCTCCCTGGGCAGCACCGCGTCCACCGCAGCGGTGCTGACCCTCCCCCTCTTGAGGACGTCCTCCTTGTTTAAGGTGGGCCCGGTGCGCAGCGCGTGCCCCTGGGCAGAGCGTGTGCCCGGCAGAGGACAGGCGCTCTGGCCTTGGCTGTTTTCCCCAGGCAGACGCGGCTGTGGGGTCGGAATCAGCAGCTGAGTTCCTCTGGAGCGTCTGGGTCTCTGTGTAGATGTTTGTGGGCTCATGAGCCCCAAGAGGACCTCGAGAGTGGGAATGGAAAGTGGGGCCGCTCTGCTGCTGCTGCATCACCTTTTCCAGAAGGGCGGCACACAGTCTCTGCCCGGCTCAGAGAGAGGCCGGGCCCTGGGGGCGGAAGCGTTGACGGGCTGTCTCATCGCAGGGCATTTGAGGTCCTCCTTGCAAGACCTGGCGTCTCGCTTTGCTCCGCTCGGGAGGCCTGGATTGTGGAAATCGCCTGCTCTCCAGCTTTGATTCCTGCGTGCATGTAGATGGCGAAGCTTCCGAAGTAAAAGAGGGTTTTGTCTTCATCTTGGCATTTGCTAATTATGTGATAGGTTATGTTAGCGCAGGGGTAACGTGAACCCCAATTGTGCTAACAAGGCGTACTCTCCCCCCAGCTGGATTGAGGTGTGACACACACACACACACACACACACACACACACACACACGGCTGTTCTGGTCGGAAATGTGCACGGGGTTGATTTGATCCATTTATATGTGACACAGTTATTGCCGCCACACCCTCAGCTCCGGCCCCTCACACGGGCACCAGTTCTTTCATGTGTGGTGAGAATGTTCCGCCTTAGTTCTTTCTAAAAGTCTTTTTTTATCATCAAGATTCCCTTCCCGCTTGATCCTGTCTTTGGAAATGTCGGAGTCTCTGCCTGCAGGCCCTGCCGCCACCCCCCGCCACCCCCCAGGATTCTTACAGATCAGTGTGCAAAGATTTACGTGTTTTGCAGTTTAAGTGAATCCCAGTTTGCTGCTGAGTGCTGAGCTGCTGCTCACCGAGCTGAGAGCAGATACTATTTTAGTGGGGTGGAAATGTTATAGGACAGGGAGAGGGGCAGCCCAAGCCCCGCAAACCTGCCTATTCTAAATGGGTTCTGCCATCCGCCGCATCAACACAAAACATAGGAGACTTTAATGGGAAGGAACTTTAATAAAACTAGGAAACAATACAGGTAAGGCAAAGAGTCTAGTTTCTAAATGAAGCACCTAAAGTCACCCGTCCCCTCGTGGGTAAAAGTCCATCCATATGGGATTGGCCCAGAGCAAGGCCCCAAAGCCTGCCACAAGTCTAAAGCATCTTCCAGTGGGGACCCACAGAAAAGGGTCACAAACAACCAGACAAGCCCGGAAGGAAAAGAGCAAAATCAACATCAAGATAAAAGCTGCCATTGTCACCTCCCCACGGGTCTCACCCACATCTGTGTCACCCAGTCCACGACCAAAAGACAAGCGCAGTTTCTTCACGTGTCTCTAGGCTCCATGTGCCTCCTCCAGGTCTCCTTGCTCCATCCTGCTTCCTTCCTCAGTCTCTTCTTGCAGCTTCCTCTCTTCCTGCTCAGCTCCACCCTCCCTTGGGTGGGGCAGGGAACCTCCCCCTTTCCTGGGGACCACCCTGTTACAGAAAGATTATGAGGACATTCAGGCCAACCCCAAGTGTAAGGACTCTAATTCAAGAGGGGGAAAATGAGCCGTATTTTATTTTGCAGCTGGAGAATGATAGCGTTCTAGTGGCAAAACGGAAGCACTTTTAAATGGTTCATTTTTAAAACGACGCTTAACTGACTGCATTCACCAGTGTAATTAAAGGTATTTGTAAATTTAATATCCAATTGCTATTACTTAGTTAAGTCTTCGAATACAAAATTTAAATATTCGCACCAAGATCGGATGGCCTGTACTTGTTCTCACATTATTCACATTATTGTTTGGATCAAGAGAGATGATTTGTAACAAGATCTTGAAGTGGAAAAACACTGCGCAGCACACAAGGTGTTTTTATTTCATTTATAGAAGCAAACAAGAACAAAAGCTGTTTATTGGAAAAAGCTGAAAACAGGAGCCATTTCTTGGTCAATGTTGTTGGAATGAAATTATGTGGAATTTAATGTATTTGCATTTTTAATTTCAGATTCAAAACGCTAATGATGTGTTAATTGCACCACTGGAGAAATTTCGGAAAGAGCAGATAGGAGCCGCAAAAGTAAGTGCTGCGTTTTATTATCCTTCAGATCTCCTCCTGGTGAAGAACTGGGGCATCATTTCAGAAGTGAACATTTGTGAAATGAGAATGACCTTTTAAAAAATTCTGCACGTCATTTTTAACTTTTGCACAGAGCCTGTTACAAAGGCTGGAATTCTGCTCCACATAAAAGATGTCCTTCTACTAGCAGGGGAAGTGCCACCATGTGATCAGCGAGACCCTCCCTCCCGGCAAAGACAGGAAACTATTCTAAAGAGACGGGGAAAGGGTGGCAGAATTCTGAGGCTTGTATACAATAAAAATTAGCCACAGGGCACATGGAAAATTCAGGCAATAATTGTAAAAGCACATTTATTATCTTTTGCATTTTCTTTTTCTTTTTTTTTTTTTAAGATTTATTTATGTATGCATACAAGAGCTGGGTGCAGGCCAGTGGTGTGGGGGGTGAGAGGATTCACCAGAGACAGAGTGGGGAGCAAAACAGGCAGATTGACTGAAACACCCTGCTGAGGGGAGCAGTGGGGAGACAGGAGAGGTCTGCTGCACCATGTGGGCAGCTCCCTGGGCAGCTGGGATCGAACTCCTGCTGCAGTGGCTGCAGACAGCTTCATAGGTTGCGTGTTAACCCTTGCGCCACCAAGGAGGCCATTTGCATTTCCTTTTTCATTACCAGTGCAAGCATGTGTTTGTGGAAAAGCTTGAGATGATCGACTGTGTATCCAGGACATCTCCCCGGGTTGAATAACTCCTGAGGTTTACTCACATTGTCTTTCTTAGACACACACCTTGGGTACCTGCTCAAGGTCATCATGTGAGACCATGGATTTAGGGTTTCCAAAAACAGCCCGTCACCACACAGCTCTCACCGCCCCCTTCTGTCTGGTTTTCCCTCGGGTCCGCGAGGAGTCCCCTCTCACCTCACTCTCCCCGGGAGCTGCACTGTGCATTCCTGCTCAGAGCTCGTTCTCTGCCCTCCCCTTGGCCTCAAGCTGAGATAACCTACAAGCCGGGTAGGGTCAACCTGGAGCGTGTTTCCATCTTGAATTGTTGGTCGCCCCATGACGACACCTTCAATGGCTCTTGAGACGGTTTGATCCCAAAATGCAGACGTTGCACAGCGCGGCCTTTGCTCTGTGTCCCCACCACAGCCCTCCCTCGCCGGGCGCCGGGGAGCCCGCCTTTCTGTAGATCCCGGCCCTCGCCCTGCCTTTGTCCACACGCTCCCCGCTGCTGGCCTGTTGCGGCCTCACCAGCTCCCCACGGCTGTGTCTTACCCAGTGCCGGGAAGATGCCTTCCTCATCCGTTCCCCTTCCAGAGTTAGTTTTCCTTTCCCTTCTTGAGATGCAGGTGGTCTGCATCTTACTTTCTGTAAAAAGCTACCACTAGCTCGAGCCAGAGGCTTGCGTGCATTTCTCCAGCAACTGTGCGCGATGATCAGGGCAGAGGCTAAATCAGGACCACTTTGTGTTAGCGAATTTGGTCAGCACTTGTCACGGCCGTGGCTGGCCGCGCGTGGCCAGTGGGGGTGAGCGAGACGACGGGGAGTGGACGTAACAGACACACGCAGCCTGGCCGTCCCTGTCAGCCCGTGGAGCACAGGCCCCGCGCGCAGGCCGGTGTGGGAAGAAGCCAGGCAGCCGCCTTGAGGAGACACTGACCGACGGACTAAGAGGACAGGGAGAATGTGGCTAGAAGTAGGGGTGCAGGGCTGGGAAGGGGTGAACCCTCCATCCTTCAGGACGGGAGGATGGACACGGGAGGACGGAGCCTGGCGTTTCAGGGCCGGGGGCCAGCGGCGCGCGGTGCTTGCTTCTTCCCGAAAGGGCCCCGAGGGGCCAGAGAGAAGCTGTAACCGGAGAGCGACACGTTGGGTTTTCACGAGTGGCTCTAACTCCCCCTTGTGCAGGGCGGGGAGGAGGCCCCGCTGGGGGACCGGGCCCGGAGTCGGGTGGTGATAGCCCGGCCTGGAGACCGGGGCGCAGCGGGAAGGCCGGGGAGCGGGCTGGAGACGGAGGCTGTGGCAGACCCGGTGGGCTTGGAGCCCCTCCTGAGGTCCGTGACTTCCCTGCCCAGACAGCAGCAACAGCAGGCCCCGCGCCTGGACGGTGTGGGGGTTCAGGATCCCCAGACTCCGCTCGCGGAGATGCCGGGCTGGCGACGGTGTTCGGCTCTGAATTGGGGACAGGCGTGGGGGAGCTGCTGGCTCCGGTCGTGCTCAGGCTCATTCTGCCCCATTTCTGCCCTGCGGACGAGCGGCTCATCAAGATGGGGAAACATCTTGGGCTTGGGGGATTGTGCAGATAAGACAACTCATTTGTCCACCCAAATCCCGGGCCTCTGTGAGCGTGTCCGTGTGGACTCAGGGCTGGGCTGCAAGCCGTGGCTGTAACTGGATGGAAACCCGGCCCGGCCTGCCGAGTTTCGTCCCAGCAGTAAAGCGCGGGCTTTCCTCTCGCGGGCTTGCTCCCGGCTCTGCCCCGGCAGCTCCTCAGGCAGGCTCTGCGTCTCTCGTCTCGGCACGGACACAGGCAGCACGGAGCCAAACCAGAAAGGTCTCCAGAGGGCCTGCAGTTTGCATGGAGCCTGGTGATTTACTGGCTCAGCTGGGGCCGTGACCTCCGCGCTTACTGCAGAGACCGGCGAGGAGTGAGCTCACTGGAGAAAGATTCCAGCCTTGAAAAAAACTTGCCTTATTTGGTAAATGTGGTTAACTGGTCCCAGCTGGTTGTGCTGGTGAGCTCACTGCGAGCGGGATTGTGTCTGTGAGCCAAATGCTGCTATTTCTTATTAGAATTAGAGTGGTAAACCGTATTCGGGTGGTGTTCTTGATGTGCCATCAAAAACATCAAAAGCGAAAGGAGGGGTTTGCGCTTGGAAAGTTGGGGCTCATGTGCGTGGACAAGGTGTCATTTTTCTATTTGTGTTTTCTGGCCTGTTACGCTGCTTACCTTCCTAGTTCCTGGGTGAGAATTTCGGATTTAATGTGGCCTGGAAGGAGAGTGCTCTGGAGACAAGTCTGTGAACACATCTGGACTTTCTTTTGTTATACGCCCGTGTGCGTTTCCTCTGAACATGAGAATTTTCGGGGGCCATCTGGGAGACTTCTTCGCATTACCAAGTAGCCCCTCACATTCAGAAAACCACGGCTGTAGCTCCTGGGGCCTTCTCCGCAGCATCCCTGCCTCTGGTCTGGCCACTTGCTGACTCTTGCTTGCCAGTCACTTGGCTTAGAGACGAAAGTGCTGGCTCTTGAGTCCTGGAGACCTTGGCTTGATCTTGCTCTGCCGTGCGTGGACTGGATGACTGAGGACAGTCCCTTAGCTCCGCGACAGTGCAGCCTGCTGTCCTTCCCTGGGTAGAGGGGAGCTCACGCGGGTGGAGGTGCCATGCAGAATCGCTGCATGGGAAATCTCAGTTCCTCTTTGGAGCGGCAGGAAGGCACAGAGCAGGAGCTCCATGATCCGAGCAGATGGGTAAAGGAGAGTCATGGAGCCCTCAGTGGCTTTTTCAGGCTTTTATTGAGCTTTTTTACGTGCAGTGTGGCACCCAGGTACATGGCAGGTGGAGAGGCGGGGGGGCAGGAGCCTGCAGCCTCCGGTCCCTGGAGTCTTCACTCCCTCTGGGCCCTCGGGCATCTCTCGTGACCTCTGCTTCTCTGCTCGTCCCCTGCTCAAGCTGCCGCTCTGCTGGCGGCCCCATGACGCCGCCCTTATAAGCCAGTCACCGCCCAGGTGCGCCCACCTGTGCGTGCCCAGACGCACTCCGGGTGCCGCCATCAGGCGTGCGTGCAGGACCGCAGGGAGCCCTCATCCGTGCTGATGGCGGGAGGGCGGAGAAGCCTGATGGTTCCTCACTTGCCCACATGCCTTCTGTGCCAGCCGCGGGCTTCCCGGCGTGGCTCTTGCTCGGCCTCACCTGCGGCTGCTCCTGTGGGCCTGGAGGCGTTGCTGTAACGTGGTCGGGCCCGCTGTGCCGCCCCCCAGCATCGTCCATTTCGCAGGGGAGCAGGCGAGAAAGGCTTCTCCGTGGCCTCAGCGTGCGCGAGGCAGCCCCGCCGCAGAGAGCGTTGGCCGGCACGTGAGAGCTCCGGTTCCGCGCCGGACTTGCCCGAGGAGCAGCTTCGGTTTCTCAGGCTCGCCCTGCCCAGAAGCGCGCCGTGTCCCTTCTCGGAGTCCCAGTTCAGGCGGAGCGCGGGCCGCGCTCTCGGGGTGTTTCTGGGCTGGGGGGCTTGTGACCGGCTCAGAGAAGTGAGAAAGGCCTTGCCCCTCTGTGCCCGCTGCCCCGCCTGTCTGCACAGACCACCCTTTGCGGGACCCCGATGGCACCCGCCTTGCGAGGGGCCTGTCTTCTGCGTTTGCTTTGTCTGGGCGGAGAGAGCGGGCGCCCAGCAGCGGAGGCTTGGTCTTCTTGGGACAGGATCCCCGGCTTGGCCTCACCCTCCCCTTTCGCCTGAATCTCCCACCCGCCGGCCCTGGTTCACAGCAGCTTGGCCCCGCGCAGGCCCCACTGGGCGCCCCCCCAGCCGCTGCCCCCCGACTTTGTGTGTCCCGGGCTCGCCCTCCCGGGCTGGCTTTGGGGCTCCTTCCTCTGGGCTCCTTCCTTTCGGCCTCTTTATGGTTTTCAGGTGAGAAAGTCATCTGGAAAAATAATCAGCGTCCACGACAAGACCTTTTGGGCTCGAATGCCGACAGGCCGCTTAGCCCGGACAGGGGCCCCTCGCGGCCTCTCCTTGGCCAGCTCGGCCCCTGCGCTGGCTGCCGCCTCGCTCTCCAGGCCCGCTCCACCTCCCCCAGCCCGGAGGACGGGGTCTGTGCCTGGCACACGGCAGCACCGTAAGCTGTTGGTACCAGACAGATCACGGCTGCTTGATCAGGGGCAAAATTGTGGAGCCCAAAGGCATCAGAGGCTTGATTTGGCCAACCGCGTGGATTGTTGAAAATACTTGTTAAGACCAGAAAAAGACACTGGCTTAGCGGGGGGTCCTCCAGAAGGAAGGCCG